AAGTTGCCTTCAGAAGTTATGGGAGCTTCATCCCTGGAGGCTTTCAAGAAGAGACTGGACTGCCATCTGTCAGAAATGGTGAAGGGCCTGCTGCTTGAGCAGGGGGTTGGACTAGATGACCTACAAGGTCCCTTCCAACTCTTGTTAATCTGTTAAACTCTGTGGAGTTTTGCTGACCGTTTCTTCTAATTTTCAGCCAAACCATGTCATGGGTTCATTTAATGACTGCAGCAATCCCTTAACGTCCCCACCAAAAATTGTCATAAAATTGGTTTGGCCATGTGACCGACTCTGTTTTACAACCATTATGACTGTAATGAGTAAGCTCCACTTCAGTTGTAACTCAAGGACTGAATTATTTACCTGTAAGAGCAAAACTTCATATTCTTCCTATTTTAACTTTCATTTTAGTCTTGTTTTTGTAAGCCGCCCGGAGTCCTGCGGGATTGGGCGGCATATAAATTTATTAAATTATAATTACAATTACAATTAAAACTGTATAAACTTCTATTAAGAATTGAAACAGAAGAGCAAGAGAAGGTTACAGACTTGGGGACTTCTAAAAATATTGGAAAACACCCCTTTCCCCACTCATAAATGGCTTTTGTCTTTTAATCGAAAAGAGGCATCCTTTCACATATAAAACAGATATTTGGACCGTAAACAATTGTGTGCACTCCTAACATCTCTGGATTCCTTTTGTAGATCGGAGGCCAAAATTATCCTATTCAGAGGCAGATATGCTGGGGAGCTGCCCTACAAACATGAGGTTATGAAAATGTGTTCTCCACTCTTACCGTAACCCGGAATTTTTTAGGGCTGTACCACGGTCCCTCCGTAATGGATTTGGGGTTGAATTTGGACTGCTCGTCCCGAAGAAATTCTGGCTTTAGGATATAGCCACAGCCTCCGTTTTCTTGGAATCGGCCCTGGTGGATATCCATTTCCGAGCACCTGGACTGGAAATTCAAAGCAACTGGGAGGAAAATTGTAGGAACAAAGGGAAGTCAGTGGTTTTTGGCTATTCATCATCATCTTCATCATCTTCTTCATCATCATCATTACCACGCCAATCGTATTTTATCTAGCTGACTTCATTAGCAATTTGCAATTGCAATTTTGCAATTTTAATAGATTTGTATGCCGCCCAATCCCGAAGGACTCTGGGTGGCTTACATAAAAGCAATTAAAATATTAAAAAAGGTTAAAAACACAGAACGATACAACTTAAAACAGAAAAACACAACATGCACTCAGTTATAATGGGGCTGAAGTTCAGTCAAGCTCAACAGCCCCAGGCCTGCCGGAACAGCCAGGTCTTAAGAGACTTGCGGAAGGCCAGGAGAGTGGGGAGGGTCCGGATCTCAGGGGGTAGCTCGTTCAGCTATTGTCTATGGAGCTATTGTCTATGGAGATTCTCATCCATCCAGGTTATGGCTGTTCCCAAGGTGCTTCCCCCCCCCCCAAAAGACAACTGGACTTCCTCTGATTTTGTTCTTTGACGACGTTTCGCTTCTCACCCAAGGAGCCTCTTCAGTTTTGTCTGGTTCACCATTAGGTCCGAACTGATGAAGCTTCTTGGATGAGAAGCAGAACGTCTTCAAGAAAAAAGCAAGGAAGTCCAGTTGCCTCTTGAAAAAAAGCACTATATCACTATTCTCTGCCTCCAGCTGATTGGGTGGGAATGGAGATTTTGTAGTATCCTTACCCTGCTACGCCCACTAAGCCACATCCACCAACCCATGCCCACAGAACTGGTAGTAAAAAAATTTGAATCCCACCACTGATGCATCCTCAATATAGTTACCTATCTGGCAACCCATGTTCCACATCTCGACAGGGTTATAGTTGGATGAGTCGGTCCTCCAACCCGCTGGATAGATCCTGCTCAGGTGCTGGACATTATGATGCATTAGGTCAATCCCTTGGTGAAAAATAAGAAATAGATACATTTTTTAATTACCCCTCTCTCTCAGGAAATACACACACACACACACACTCGTAGATTTTCAAGGGTACAGGTATGCAGGTCTTGCTGCATTAGGGTCTTTTCCCGTGGAAGGTTGAGAGTATCTTGGCGACATTTCAACAAGGTCCCACTCGCCATCTTCAGGCTGATGCCTTCGGCTTCATGCTTGTGAGAGCAAAGCATGATCAGAGCTGCCGTCTTTCTATAAATATTGGTGGGTGGGTGTGGAGTGCTGGCTTCGTTGCTGTAAGCAGGTTGGTTGGCTGTGTTGTTATATCTTGATTAGTTGATGGAGTTGATGTATGCAGATTAGTCGGCTGTTTTGTAGCATCCTGTATGGCTAAGGTACTGGCTGTGTGCCCATTAGTCTTTTGTGTTGTAATGACCTGGGCAATGGGCTGTGTGATGACATCCTGAGCTCTAGTGTAGTGATATCTTGAGTCCTGTGCTGCAACATCCTGGGAGGCTGGCTGCTTACGCAAAGGCTCAGGATGTTACAATGCAGCCAATCTCCCAGGATGTTGCAGCACAGGACTCAGGATATGCCAGTACCTCAGCCACACAGGATCTTACGAAACAGCCGACTAATCTGCATACATCAACTCCATCAAATAATCAAGATGTAACAGCACATCCAGCCAATCTGCTTACAGCAACAAAGCCAGCACTCCACACACACCTACCAATATTTATAGGAAGACAGCAGCTCCAATCATGCTTTGCTCGCACAAGCACTAAGCCGAAGGCACCAGCCTGAAGATGGTGAGTGGGACCTCATCGAAACGTCGCAAAGATACTCTCAACCATACAAGGGAAAAGACCCGAATACGCCAAGACCTGCATATATATGCCATCCTATTATTATATTTGTTTTTTAAGCCAAAGCACGTGCATGAAAAGCTGAGCGCATGTGGTGCTAGTGAAGCGTGCACACTCGCATGTGCACACTCACATTTGCGAAACGGCAGTAAAAGTAAATGAATATCACCTCTGCCCAGCATGGCTATAAACCAAAGGCACACAGAACACTCTTACCTTTTCACCCAGGTGGTACCTATTTATCTACTAGCATTTGCATGCTTTCAAACTACCAGCTGGGGCAAGTAAGGGGAATTCATCCTGTCATGTGGCGCTTGCGTCTCGAAACTGGCCAATCAGCTGTCCAGCTGACAAGCTCAGTGTTTTTACCTGCTAAGCCACCGTGCTCCCAAACAACCCATAATTCATGGAATTTAATGCCAGGCCAGATCATAACAGCTACAAGGTGGTTTTTAACTGGTGCATACAAAATGCAGCTATCTGAGTCATGACCACCTCTGAAAGGTTGCAAGCTATTTCCTGCCCAGGAGTGCTTATTTGTAGAGGACTACAAAGCCCTCTCAGGACTGTCAGACTCGTGGGTCCCAGGAGAAAGGCAATTTTTGGACTATTTGGATAGCAATCAGAAATGTCCTTCCTTAGCCCCCAATGTTTTTATGCAGCTCTCCTATTTGATCAAATCAATGGTTCAATAGTTATTACCATATTTGCAGACTATAAGACGCACCGGAATATAAGACGCACCAAGATTTTGAAGAGGCAAATTAAAAAAAAAAGTGTTTGCATTTTGCAGACCTCCGAAAGCCTCTGCATGCCTTGGTTTTTTTGCAGAAAATGAACAAAAAGCGCTCTGTTTTTCACTGGATTTTCCCCTCCCCAGCCCCCAAGAGCACTTTGCAGGCCTCCCAAACTCTCTGCATGTCCATTTTTGTTTTTTAAAAATGGGATGTGTGGGGGCAGGGTTTCGGGAGGCCAAAAATGTTGTATTCAGTGTATAAGACGCACCTAGATTTTCACCGTCTTTTTTGGGAGGGAAAAGGCGCATCTTATACTCCGAAAAATGCAGTAGCTCAGGAGGAAGGGAGGGGAGGGGAGAAGGGAAAAGGAAAGGGGGAGAAGAAGGGAGAAGAGGCGGGAGGGAGGGAAGAAAGAAGGAAGGAAGGAAGGAAGGAGGGAGGGAGAGAAATTGTGGCAATCGTAAAGCAAACACTATACTTGTTAAGCAAATTCATTGTCTACAATAGAAATTTGTTACCGGAAACCATCTTTTTCCCTCAAAAAAGTGGCTGAAAATCTGAGTGCATCTTATACACAGAATACAGTACTTTTGGCCTCCCGAAGCCCCGCCCCTTTACCAAAATGGCTGTGCATAGCCTTATGGAGGCTTTCAGAGAGCTCCTAGAGGCTGGGGAGGGCAGAAATGAGCAAAAAACAGGCCATCTTTTGCCTCCCTAGCCCCCAGCAGCACTCTAAGCCTCCATAAAGCTATGCATGCAATTTTTTTTGACAAAAAATGGGCCGTTTTTTGCTCGTTTTTGGGGCCCCCCACCCCCTCAGGAGCACTCTGCAAGCCCCTCCCCGAGGCTATTCATGCCTTTTGGGGGGAAACGGACCCGTTTTTGGGAGGTTTGCAGAGTGCACACACTTGTTTTTCCTTTTGGAAAGCTCTTTAACTGATTGATGAGAATTACATTGATCGAGTGCTATGCTAGCAGAAACACCTACCTATCTACTGTATTTCTCTCTATTTCTATTTCTCTATCTCTATTCCTCTCCCTACCTACCTACCTACCTACCTACCTACCTGCCTGCCTGCACACATTATCTCTCCCTACCTACCTACTGTATTTCTCTATCTCTCTCTATTTCTCTCTCTCTAGCCCTCTATCTACCTACCTACCTAACTACTCTCTCTCTCTCCCTACCTACCTACTGTATTTTTCTCTCTCTATTTCTATCTATCTATCCCTCTACCTACCAACCTACCTACTTTCTCTCTCTCCCTACCTATCTACTGTATTTCTCTTTCTATTTCTCTCTCTTTATCCCTCTACCTACCTACCTACCTACCTACTTACTCTTTCTCTCTATCTCCCTCTCTCTCTCCCTTTATCTATCTATCTAGCTACCTAACTACTCTCTCTCTCTCCCTACCTACCTACTGTATTTCTCTCCCTCTCTATCCCCCTATCTACCTACCTACTTTTTATTTTCATTTGCCTCTTCAAAACCTTGGAGCGTCTTATAATCCGGTGCGTCTTATATTCTGAGAAATACGGTAAACACTTGTTTTCAGTAAATATATTGTAACTCTTGGTCATATCATAGCAGGATGCTGCAAGCACCCAAAATGCAGTGAGATGACGGATGGGAGAAGAAATACCATTGGCATTTCCAATTTGTGTCTTAAGTCTCTTTTTTTGGAAGGGGGTCTTTCACAACTCCAAACAGTTACTAAACAGCCAGTTGTGAGTTGAGGACTACCTGTACTAAGAATAATCCATTTTAAATGAGTATTGGATCAGGAACGCTGCCTATTCAGTTACGTTCCAAAATCCTTTGCCAAAAGCATTAAGAAGATGCTGCGTACCTGATTCCTGAGCCAGTTTAAGGATTTTGCCCTCACTGAAAGAGTACATCTCGTCATGAGGCTGTGGCTCAGCAAAACCTTGAAAATGGACGCTTTTACAGTAGATGACCGTGTCTGACAGCTCCTTGGCTAGCTTTAGCTTGTCGCTCTAGCAGAGAATGAGAGAGAAACGGTCAACCAGCCTTCTCACAACCCTGTCTAAAGAATACTTGGACAAACTGCTTTGGAATACGCAATAACGCCTCTTTAAAGCAGTCCTGACTCATTAAAGCAGCCACATGAATCGATACATACAGAACAGAGTTGGAAGGGAGCTTGGAAGTCTTCTAGTCTAACTCCCTGCTCAAGCAGGGGACCCTATCCCATTTCATATAGGTGGCTGTCCAGGCTTTTCTTAAAAACTTTCAGTGATGGTGCACCCACAACTTACGAAGGCTTGCAGTCCCGATGGTTGATTGTCCTGACTGTTAGGAATTTCATCCTTAATTCCAGGTTGCTCCTCTCCTTGATTAGTTTCCACCCACTTCCTCTTCTCTTGCCACCTGGTGCTTTAGAAAATAATTCGACTCCCTCTTCTTTGTGGTAGCCCCTCAAATATAGGAACACTCTTATCATGTCCCCACCCCCAACCCCAGTCCTTCTTTTCTCTAGACTGGCCTCACCCAGTTCTTGCAACTGCCCTTCGTATGTTTTTCTCTCCAGGCCTTTAATCGTCTTAGCTGCTCTTCTCTGCCCTTTTTCCAAAATCTCAAACCTCTTTTTTGTAATGTGGTGACCAAAGCTGAATGCAGTATTTCCAGGTTTGCGTGACCCGTCAAAACCGCGGTAGACAAAAGCGCGCTCGACGAAAGCGCGTCCGTGACGTCATCAGCAGCGCGACGAAAAAAATAAAAAATAAATTAAATTGAAATTAAAATAAAATTAAAGCAAGCCGATAAAGGTAAGGGTTAGGTTAAGGGTTAGGGTTAGGTTTAGGGTTAGGGTTAGGGTTAGGTTTGGGGGGGTTAGGGTAAGGTTTTCGCTTTATTTTTAAATTTACCGCTCACAGCGCGATGTTTTCGTCGCGCTGTGATGATGTCACGTACGCGCTTTTGTCGAGCGCGCTTTTGTCTACCGCGGTTTTGTGGTGGAACCCAGGTTTGGACCTACTCACGTTTCACATTTCAAATGAAACTTGTTAAACCAGCTATCTCTCTCTGTCTTCTTCAGGTTTACAGGTAGTTCTCAATTTACAAACATAATTCAGCCCAGACGTACAGCAATAATTTGTGTTAGTCATTAAGAAGGTTGTCACATGCCCATACCTAATTTTTTTTGCAGCAGTCCTTAAGGGAGGACACTATATCTAATGAGCAATTTTGCTGGAAAGTGAAAATAAATACTGGTTTCTGGCATTTTCCCCCCCCAGTGCTGTTGCAATTTCAACGAATTAAACGAATGGTTATAAGTCGAGGACTACCTGTGTAGATCATGTGCCTGGAAACTTACCAATTTCTTCTTTTCTACCTCACTTTTCACAGTCTCGTCTTCCATTTCAGCGGCTTCATCTTCATCTGAAACTTCTTCCGTTTCTGCAATTAACTTCTTCCCTTTCACAAGAATTTTCCCTTTTAGTTGCTAGGAGATATAACAAAAATTGATTATAGATGGTTCTCGACTTACAACCACAATCGATCGCAACATTTCTGTTGCTAAGGAGACAGTATTTAAGACAGTAAGTAGTGAGCTGTGTCCCCATTTTATGACCTTTCCTGCTACGGGGGTTGAGTGAATCACTACAGTTGTTAAGTCAGTCAAGCGGTTATTAAACAAATATAGCAATAGCAATAGCAGTTAGACTTATATACCGCTTCATAGGGCTTTCAGCCCTCTCTAAGCGGTTTACAGAGTCAGCATATTGCCCCC